TGTATTTGTATTTATTATGAATCAAAATAGCAAGTGTTTAGTTACTGCAAAAAATGTTGAGATACAGATAACTTACAATCTGTAGTAGATAATTATACATGTTGTGTTAAACTTTATTTGCAGTACAAATAAAAACATGAAAAATGATTGCATCCATCTTTATTTTAAAGGTTTTGTAATTCTTGGATGTAAATCCGAAATGTATTGTTAATTTTGCTGTGTTTTTCCATGTAGAGCCAGACTAAGAAGAAGGAACAAATTAGGAGGAGGGACATTTCAAGAACGAGAGGAGGAGAGACTAGCAATTCCTTAAAGGAATCGGAAGAGAAGGTAGAACACAAAGCTCTAAAAAATCTATCTAAACACACACAATTCTGTTTAACAACTCTAAATTCTGTCAGTGAAAAAAGGCTTTTGTAAATTGATGACATCTTTAAAAGGCCTGTATAAAACTATGAAATTTAATAAATTGTCTGTACATGTAATCTATACTGACTGATAATATTGAAGTGTCTGTTACAGCAGATAACTCCTTTAAGGGATGGTTTATTGTTTTTCAGGTTGATTTCTTCAGTTTAACATCATAAGATAATGAAAGCATATAAATTATATGGCAGACATTTGAAACTTCTGATAATCAGCCAAAACATATTGAATTTCTTTTATCTATGTCATAATCTATAACCACAGCCTTCAATTAACAGGATAATAACAATAATACCTGATGTTTTGCATGGATAGCAGGCGGAGAAGATATTTTTTCAAAGAAATGAGAAAGGTAAATAATTTGTTGAAAGAACAAAAGATAGTTAATTGTTTAAGAATGCATTAATAATGATGGAATTTAAAATGGTAAATTTAAATATTTATAATAATCAAACCATGTGCATACAATTCTTAAATTGCCAGTTGCCTCCATAAATATATCCTTATTTTCTATTTACAAATTAAATAAAACTTAAATAAAACATTTCAACCAAGAAAAGCACTGTTTCTCTGCATTTAAAATGAAAGTAGTTGACATGTTGTGTATTTAGGGGAAGCTGGTAGTAGTTCTGGTGGAAGTGTAGAGACTGTATTAAAAGTGTTGGACAGAGAGGAAGGTAGTGTTGTCCATGAAGAATATATGTTAATGTTCAGGGTAATTAACATACTAAAATTGTATTGAAACTTTGTTTAAATACCTCTATTATTACTAGTTACATTCTCATAACTACTACTATAATTATCATTGTAAACATTGAAAAAAGAAGCAACAGATTTGATGTGCAATGAAAAGAAAAACTTATACTATTTGAAAAGGTCTTCAAATGTTGTAGGTTGAAATCAATCCAAGGCAAACAGAGCAGAATATAGACAGATTAGTAGAAAGTAAAAAGTGAAAAAGGTACAGTCTAACTTGCCCATGCGACCACGTGTATTAAGCGACTTTTGTCTTAAACGACCACTTTAAATTCCCCCCGATCATTTTCTCTCTATATCTTTAATGTATTAAGCGACTTTTGCTCAACGCGACCAGCGACCGCTAATTAGTCACCTAATTACATCAACTCTTTTCATTCAACACGACCCATTTTTTATCTGTCAAGTAATTGTGTTTTTAGAGAACGCCACCTCGTTATTGTCACAATCAAACAACAACAATAAACGTGGTGAAAACTTTATTTCCCATAATGCCGTTTTAGCGTATGCAAATGAAGTTAAGTATACGCCGTGACGTGTATTATCCAATAATATCGGATAAACAATGCAACGCTCCGCCCCATACTGAGATGGTGTATACGCTTCGCTTGTTGACATTTAGACTGGATTGAATTGACCTTGAACTTGATCAGCCATTAAATTAATCGTAACAAATAGATGTAGTTTGTTTATTTCAAATGAAAAAATGCACAAACGAAAACATCCTCACTAATAGGGTTTTTCGTGTTGGGAGACAAGGAAAAACAAAGGCCGAAGTTAAAAAATTCTGGAAAAAATGTCAAACATGTACGTAATGGATCAAAACTGTTTTGTCAATAAATATCAGAGAACGTTATTTTTACATTTGCATCCGTTTAGATTATCGGATCGTACTTATTATTCAACATTTATATAAAAATGAAGTTAAAAAACAATCCCAACGAATAAAAAAGATGTCATTTATAAATTTTGACTTATATATCATGCTGACTGTCTTAAGGGACCGTTTCATTAAGCGACCGTGTTTGGTGTTTCCCTTGCCCGGTCGCTTAATACACGTTTGACTGTATAAGAAATATTTCTACACCCATGTCATGATGATTTCATTAAAAGATAAAAAAAATATCAAAATATTTACCCTCTTAATTATATATTTATCCAATATGGACAGTTCCATACATTTAAAATATTAACAATGATGCCCAGTTACATCTTAATATCTGCAGTCTTCGAAAAGTGCAAATTATGTTATGTATGTGTTGTTAAAATCAACATATCACAGTACATAGATGTCTTGTTGCAAATTTGCAGTAGCAGAGTATAACAAATGATGTTCTATAACCTAGCTAAATAACTTCCATTCTTGAATGAATCCCAAGTATTCTTGTAATCATGTTGTCTCTTATGTTTCTAAACAGCTTTTTTTTCAATTTTTAACAAAACAGCTGCATAGAATGTGGCAAATATATTGAAATTAAATCACATATAAATCAATAAAAATTTAAGTAACAACATCAACAAAGATGCAGATCTATGTGACATTTTTTTAATTTCAATTAAGAAATTGAGTGTAATCTGTGACATGTATTTAATCAGGTCATTAAGTGAGTTAGAAGCAGCTCAGATGGAGTTTTATTTAGAGAATGCTTCGCTATGCAGGGAACAAAAAAGGTAGTCAGTCAGAAGTTAAAAACCCTCACTGCACAGGAAGCGATTTTCATAGCAGCAACAAAAAAATTATCACAGGATAATATTTCAAGCTTGCTGAACATTTTAACAGAGCAGTATGTTTTCTTATTATTTATCTGTATCAATAACTTGTTATTACTATTGAATCAAGCTGTTTGTTTTTTGTTTGTTTTTCTACTTAATAAAGTGATGATTGTTTGTACAATCATGCCCTTATTTCACATATGAATATAAAAATTCACATCTTAATCAGTGCTTTTCAAATAGAAAGATCATGTCTAAAATTAAGTAAGGGGTATACCTCTAGAAAATTAGAACATCTCATCAATAAATTACATTGTTATCAAGACTTTTTATATAAATCTAAAACTTTTTTTAATTTATAAAAGAGACTGTGTTGATTCTCTAAAATTGCTCTTCTGTGTTACAGCAATAATTTGGCATTTTGATCACATTATAATTCTTCTGGCTTCTTTTTCTTCAGATGATGGATATCAATCAAATGGATATTCCAGAATGACACCATTATCAGATGGCAGTTGTTTTTAAGTACTAAGACTTGTAATTCAATTTAAATCAGAGAATTTTAAAAATAAGAAGACACATGCATGTGTTGTTATTCATTTTATATATTATATTTTCTGTGAGAACAAATAAACAAGTATAACAAATTAAAATAAATGTTGATAAGGACAATATACTGCCAATGTGTGTTACCTTAAGCATTCAATAACAGTTCTTAAAGAACAACAGTTAACAAACAAGAGTGATCAGTGTTCACATGTGACACTAATACAAGAGGGTCTGTCAACACTAAATTAACAACAGTCAAGTATTTATCCCTTTGTCTTGAATGAGGGGGAATAACAATCTAATTGAAAAGATTAATGATTTGCTGGCGGTATTCTACAGCATTTGAGTCTGGACTGCCTACCAATGTTTCTTCATCTTGTTCAAAAACAATCTGGGTTTCTGGCAATGGAATGTTATTTTCCATGCACAAATTATATAACGTGGCACATGCTAATACAATTTTGCAACACTTCCATGGCTTCTTGTATAGAACCCCACCTGTTCTGTGCAGACACCTAAAATTACAAATAAAGTTCTTTGCTGAAACTTCAATGATTTTTTCTACTAATCCTAGCAAGTTTCTCATTAAAACTTAACCCATTACTTCATATACACGCCTTTTAACGCCTTTTTCACCCCCCCCCCCCTTTTGTTGTCTCAAATGATGAAAAAATGCCTTATTTAGGCCCCAAACACTTGTTTTTGTTTGAGAAATGTTGTTAAAAAAGTGACCTCTTTTTCGGCGCGGCCCCCCAACCAAAAGATACATCAGGGGGTTGCCAGAAGGGGGATGTGCCCCCTTCTGTTTGGGGGGTTTGAAGGGGGGCGGAGTCCCCCTCATCGCCAAGAAAATTTTGGACTTGTGAGAGGCTGTAAATGACCCCAGATTGATCATAAGGTAACGTGTAACCAACGCTGAAAAGCATTTGACTCTATCTCAATCCATTGAGAAATGGCAGCACTTTGAAATCAATTTTGATGGAAAAAATCAACGCAAAATAGTGATTTTTGGCAATTTTGAGATGTCCCCTCGTTGCCATGGTAACAGAAAATTTAAGCCTGAGCATATTTTTGCAAGGGCAATGGTCCAGTCAACATTTGTGCCAAGTTTGATTAGTGTTGAAGCAGTTTTAATAGTATTATAGCAATTTGAACTTGTAACGGGAGACTTTTCAATGAAAACAGCCATTTTTCACAAAATGCTCATGAAGTAATGGGTTAAGTTAAAATTATTACAATTTTGCCTATAAATATTTTTGACATATTTTCAAAATTCATGGATGAGAGCCAGTTTAATAGATAATGTTAGTGATAAATTTGATGAAAGTGTCTAAAACTTACACAGCTATTAGTGTTTATATCTTACACAGCTATAAGTGTCTAAAACTTACACAGCTATAATTGTCTAAAACTTAGACAGCTATAAGTGTCTAAAACTTACACAGCTATTAGTGTCTATAACTTACACAGCTATAAGTGTCTAAAACTTACATAGCTATAAGTGTCTAAAACTTACACAGCTTTAAGTGTCTATAACTTTCTAAGTGAGCTATAAGTGTCTATATCTTTCACAGCTTTAAGTGTCTATAACTTTCACAGTTAATCTACTTTATCAACCCTGTTTATACTTTTGTTAAATTATACAAACCTGAATCTTGACTTTAACATCCCAAAAGCTCTCTCTACAACCATTCTACCACTAGAATGAGCTTTATTGTAATCTGATTGCATTTGATTGGAAGGATTCAATAAGGGAGTTAACAGGTGCTTCTTCAAAGCATACCCAGAATCCCCAAGTAGGTGGCCAATCTGATTCCTTTCTAAGTGAACCTATTAAGTTCAAGAGAATTAGTTTCATACTTAGATAATGGATATTAATTTTGATGTGCTTTTTTGTACATTAATGCAAGGCTACAAATGCAAAGTAATTTAATCATAAAGGCTGGTTAATCTAAGTGATCAATTACAATGCATAAATGACAACGTTAAACCATGATTATTTTTCATAACTATTATGCAACAAAAAATGAAAATATCTAGTGTATATATTTTTAAGAAAAAAAAAAGAAAATATTCTGAAAGAGTATAAATTTAAAGGTTAAACCGTCAAACCTAACAAACATAGTATATGTCTTACTACCCATGTGTGAAACATTATTTAACTGAACAAAATGCTTGTAATTTTTTATTGCATGAATAACAATAGCTTACTTAATAAAATTAACAAATTGTTACCACGTACTTTAAGGGAACTGTTTTCAAATATAGAAGAATCATGGGTTGATCCTGGCCATTTTGAAACCATGTCTGTGAATCTGAAATTATTTTTCCAAGTTTAAAGATGCATGCCACCAAAATGAACTGAGATTTTAAGAAATGTAAAAGGATTCAATATTCAAATAATAATGTACTTGTTATATGTGATTAATGACTAATTTTGCAATATTTGACTAAGGCAGAATTGTTTGTTTGTTTTTTGTTGTTGCTTTTTTGTGATTTTTTAAAATTATTTTTTAGAATAATTAATCTAGCATTTATATTTAGCTTCAATAACAGGCAGATGATGTTAAAAGTATCTGTCAAATGACAAAATATAAGACGATAGATGTTTTTAAAAACAATGACATTTTCAAATATTATAATATCATCCTACCTTACTTTATGGTCAACAGTGGCCTGTACATTGATTCCATGAAAGCCCTTTCTGCATACATATACTTCCTCATTTTCAGAAGGCGTGACAATTGGTATTAGAGTACCATCAATGGCTCCAACAGTATTGGGTATTTTACATTTCTGATAAAAACCCTGCTTCACATCGATTAGGTATCTGCCACTTGGAAATCTTAATTTATATAACATAAGAACTTACATATACACATTTAAACCTTAAAAGATTGAACTCATGGTGCCGTTTTGTGAGCTGGCCTTTATTTTTATTTATTCTTTAATTTTTGATTAATTCTTAGAGCAATTCCCTTGTGACATTTACAACCATAGATTTTGTACTAATACTATTATCCATGATAATATGCTGTCACCTATAAGTTTCAGCATTCTAATATTTATGGATTATATTATAAAAGTTCTATTAAACAAGTAAGTTACTGGCACTAAGAAATGTAAGAATAATATGACATCTGTTACTTTTTTCAGTACATATCTTTATAACATCTTACCTTATATTATCAAGTCTGTCATTAACAGCTTCCACAAATTTGTCTATAATGTGGCAAGCACTGGATCTAAAATGTAGTTGGTTGAATTTGAAGGAAGCATTTACAAAATATGAACATATGTCATACACAATAAATTGTGTTAAATGGTGTTGACTACACATTTAGGACATGTTTGAAACTATTTAATTATTTATTAATAAGTTACCTTAAACAAAAATTGAAGTTATGATAGTAAAGACATGCCTCAGCAAATTAAAAAGCATTTTTGATTGCGTTTGTGGCCTTTATGTCACTGACTGCAATTCGAGTGTTTGCATTAATTAGTTTAAATGATATGAAACCATTTCATGTTGAATTTTTTTTAAAAAGAGAAAAAGTTTATAATAGCAGAAATTAAAGTTTTTCCCATCAAAACAGGATTTATTTTCATCTTGTGGTATGAAAATTTTTATGTTTCACTCATGGCTACTGCCTGTGACTCTTGAAATATTTATTTTCATACCACTCGATGAAAATAAATCCTGTATTTATAGAAGAAACTTGAATATCCTCCATTTATGTTTCACTAACCTGCTTACACCATGTAGGTCTGAAACCTCAGACAGCAAATCTCCTTTTGCCAGGTAACGCAAACCAATAAGTACCTAAAAATACATGTATATTATGTATTTAGGTAGTAACTTTAAAACAGCTTAGCTAAAATCATTTGGGCACTTTTACTGACCATGACTGCTTTACAGACAATAAGAGAACAACACAAAATTGTGTACATGATAACCTTAATTAATTGTTATACTTTTTCTAATTATATCTATTTAAAGTTTACCAAGCAGTTTATTTCAACATAACAAATTCTGTCATTCAATGTACAAACTACAGTGTACATGTACATGGTATTTTTAAAGTCCCAGAATCTACCGGTACATGTACATTAATCTTTGTTGCTATACTTTGTATTTTGTCACATTCTTTGAACAACGTTGACAATGATGTTTAATTTTTATTTATGTTATCATTTGATGTACATTATATGCCTGATGAGTGAAAGAATACCGTGTTTCCATTGCAGCAGCCTGGCTAGTATTTATAGAAATACCTGTATGATATCCCATGGTATGATGGGGGAAGCCCCAGTCAGATTATTTAATAGTTTTGTTTTGTCTTGCCAAAAAAAAATAGCAGTTTATCCCTGTTTTTAAAAGCATGTATCGTGCCATTTGTAGAATTAAACATTATGCCCTGTAGATTGTACTTAACTTCACTTCATCAGGAAAAAAACCCAATAAAACCCCTAAATTAAGTCACATTCCTTGGTTCTAAAAATACACTTTACACTGTACTAGTAACTTTATCATGTACGCGATTATACTTTTTGTACAAGAACAACTTACCTGCGTCAAAACTGGTATGGAGTGTGATCTTTTTGTAACCTTCTCTAAATTTCCTCTTAAGATATCCACTAATCTGTAAATACCTTCTCTTGTGAGACGATAACGTGACAGAATCTCACTATCCCTCAAATGGTCGAGGCTTGCGCGAGTCCGGAACAATCGTGCTGCACGTCTCTGGCGTACTTGCCTTGCGGCTTCAACGGTCGCCATTTTAAGATCTTAAGCAAAAGTCTACAAAAAAACATGCTTAACTAATTATAACAATCAAATTGGTTTTATAGCTTAACAATTAACACAACAATTATTGACAAATGTTAGATCTATATTTTCTGTCCGAAATCTGTACTGTCCGAAATTTCTGTACTAAAATATTTCGAAAAGAAAAGTAGGAAACGGTATAGAAAATCGTAAGAATCATTTGCTAATCTGGCTACAGATGTGACAGGAGTTTTATTATACACACATATATACGTTGGATGTACTAAAATGAAAGTAATACAACTACATGGAAATTAGTTTCGTTCAAAGCCTTGATAATGGAAATTATTGACAGATTAAACTGGAAGTGATAGTTGCGTCCCTTGGATGTTAAAATAGATTTAGCACTGTACATAAACATGAACGAGAAAAACTTACGTTAGTTGTAAACTCCAAATGTTCAAATATTTGTGTTTGAAGTTCCTTGTCGGGAATTAGTCGAAAATGGCCGCCATTTTTAAGATCTTAAGCCTACTTACGACTGGTCTGAAGCAGCCTTAAAGTTACGACGTAAATCCAAGACGTCTTAGCTACGACCATATTGATAAAACGCGACGTAGCCGTAAGATCGGTCGTACGACCAAATCTTAGCTACGACCGGGCGTACGACCGTTGATAAAACGGCACCCAAGGCTATCGCTACCATAAATTACGTTCATTCTTTTCAAAATATTACCATCGATTTTTCAATTTAATATCTATATAAAGTTTCCTTTTAAAAGGAAAGGATTGCTCAGTTGTGCCATCATCCCTTCCCTTTAAATTTTTTTTTTGTTTCAATTTATTATTACAATTTTTTTTTTGAATTACGGTATTTGTATACCATAAAGGGTTTATTTACTTTTTTATTCTCGAAAAAAAAAGTTTCACTTTTAAAGGGATAGGTAGGGTAAGCCCAAGACTGGACGAGCACCTGTGCCCATTTGTTTGAGCACCAGTGTTATGCGTGCAAATTTGGACCAAATAGGGACCAGAAGTCCATTTATTATAACTGAACGGGAACATGCTGACGATAACAGTAGCAACTTTTTTTGTAAAAACGAATATTTTTTTGTCAAAAACGATTCAAGATCTATTCTCTATTGTATAAAAGTAATAAAGAAAATAATCAATCGTAAAATTCTAACATTGGCTCTCACGTGGAGATCAATCTATCATACTGAATGGAAACAAGTGAGCACATTTCATTTCCACTTTTTTCGCAGAGAGAGTCATTTGTTTTGGCAGTTGCTACTTTCATTTATATAGCAGCTTTAGAGACAAGTAAATGCACTAAAAGTTTTCGTTACGTGGTACCAATTAATAAGCATGAATCAACTATGTAACACCTAAAATATCTATGGACAACACAGGAGATCAGCACGTGGCAAGGTTAATGATATGCATGTGCTATTTTTAGATTACCTCACCTGTCAGTAGATCTAAATATAACTTGATCATGCACTTATATTCTGCGTGATTCTGGTAAGCAGGACGGAATACTACTACAGTAACCATTCTCTATCGTATAAAACTAATAAAGACAAAAACCAATTATAAAAGAAACCATCTTTTGCGTTGAAACGGAATCAAGTAAAAATAGAAAAAATCCTATTTATATAAACAAACTTGGATTACCGAAGTAACTAAAATAGCTTAGATTTCCGTAATATTACTTCGTCTGATTCCGCAGTATGACGGAATCGCCCGAATTGTCACGATTGCAATCGGAACTACCTCGCCTATTATCATTAATCCGAAGAGTGACGGAAAGGGCCGAAAAGTTGCGATTGGCACGATTGCAGCTGGTTTCCCGTTCAATCATGCACTAACAAATGTAAGCAGGAAACTACCTAACCGGAACAGCTTTTCCAAAACAAATGGCTTGCAGCCGTGGCTGCAAGCCAATAAAAGAGCAACTACACATTATACTACACTGCCACATAATTAAATTAATGATAAACTAATTTCCCTTATTCAGAAAACCTTTGCACGGGAAAAAGTTACATTTCTTGCATGTAACTCTCAAAAAGCCTTCTTTACGAACAGTATACTATGTAGACCTGTGACGAAGTTTGTAGAGCACTATCTTTTCTTTTAGACAATATTTATGTCAGGTTTGGTAATACCCTATTCAAACAAATCATAGGAATTCCTTGGGTACTAATTGTGCACCCCTGGTCGCCGATTTGTTTTTATATTGCTATGAAAGAGATTTTATGTTAGTCTCTCTGAAAATACACAACAAGATGTTATATTAGCATTTAATAACACTTCAAGATACCTTGATGACATTTTTAATCTAGATAATTCTTATTTTGATCAAATGGTGTCTAATATTTATCTTACTGAGCTACAACTTAGGATATGTCTTTTTGAATGTCTTTTGACGTTTTATCTGTGATATGCAGGCTTCATAACCTCAGACCCCCTTTCAAAATTCCAATTTATTTAGTTCCGCCCATTGTTTTCTCGTTTTACTTGGGGACCATACGCCGCTTTTCAAGGAAAGGCACTGTGTCACATTGAAGGTTCCATGACAACCGCCGTATGAACACATCTGCGGATGTCTCTAAATTCAAAATTTCACCATTGCGTGTTAAAAGTTGAATTCTGCTTAAGCCGGTGCTAGGGGGCGTGGACGGTAACTTGTACTTTCCAGTACCGTCAATGAACAGGCACAATCAAACCGAGCCTGCAACATTTTCAATTTTGTTGTGTTGGACTTTCTTTAGGGATTCTGCTTTACTTTATTTTAAAAAAACGAATTCTTGAAATTAAACTACATCATTTTTGGATCTTCATATCACTTATCAAAAACAATTCTATTCACACAAAAATCTATGATAAAAGAGATAACTTTGATTTTGGTACAGTAAATTATCCTCATTTGGATCGAGACGTACCGCATGCTATCAGTAAATTAGATTCGCTAGTGCTTGTAGCAACGTAAAGGATTTTAACGAGCGTAATATTTTCATTACCGGTAAACTACTCAAACAGGGCTACCGCTATTATAAATTACGTAAATATTTTACAAAATTTTACAATCGTAACTTTGATTTAATTTCAAAATTCAATAGTGATCTAAAAACACTTCTGCGACAAGGGATTAGCCAGCCTGATTTTTACGGGGATGTTGTTTACAAAATAGATAAATACAGAATACAGAAGTTTACAAACTTCGTAAGATCTTGGGTCATTGTAATTTTTCTGTTGTCTTTACTAAAATTATAAAACGTTTTATTAAAAAGGGTTATTGGCGTCCGCGCCGAAGCGCGGCGCCCTTATGGAATGAAATCAGATTTTGTGAATGGGCGACAGCAACTTCTCGAGCCTTTTATTATGACCGCATAATAAAAGCCGATCATTCCGATCGGTATGAGGGTGCTTGATTAAAAAAAATGTCTCGATATGTACAATGAATAGCGAACTGGAGAATTTCGCAATGCATGAAATAACCTTTTCCGTCTCTTCGTTTTTTTTATTTATCATTTTGTAGTACACAGTGGGTTATTATGGTATGTTATAATAGAATGATGAGTTGATGACCTAAACATTCCGAAAATCTATTTATGACCCTACTATTTTAAGACATACCGCATGCTGAGTGTTCAACACATTTACAGGGGCGCCGCCTTAACCCCCCCCCCCTTCCCCCGGTCTTCTGTCCCCTTACCCTTTGTGGGCCTATTATTATTTTCTTTGAATTCCTAATCAGTTACAAATTATTTATCATTTAATGATTAACGTGTCGTTGCCCTGTCCTTTTTGTGTTTGGGGTCCGCCTGGGCTCCTTGTCATTGGTTCTTGTTGCTGGGTCATATGGGGGTTGCGTTCATTGAACGCCGCCTTTCCTTGTTGATCTTGTTTTTCATATTTTTTGGAACGGTCAGCAGCATAATAATGACTGCTGGGGAGTTTAAACCGGTTAATGGTGCACCAAACCTCGCTCTTAGCCCCACCATGTTCCTTTAAAAGAGACAGTGTAAATAAAATGAATCCCCGCCAAGTGAAATTCTAACAGTTGTCATGGTTACAAAAGGTTAAATAAGTAAAACACTAAAATGATCATGTAGAAACATATAAAAGTAAACACATATAAAAGTAAACCCAATGACTATAACAAAAGTACTCAATGTCCTAAAGGAAGACAGAGCAACAAGAAAATCACCTACAAGGGCCCGACGAAGCAAAGCAGAAGACGAACATTAATACAATTCAGTCCAAAAGGGCTTTACGAACTATCCATTTTAGAGTCTCCCACTTGGTCCGTCAGATGTAATCAAAAGAGGAAAGCGTAGTGTCAAACTGTAAAAGGGTTGAACACTAAACATGCAGTATGTCTTAAAATAGTAGGGTCATAACCTCTTTTAATAAAATATGATAAACAAGATCAACAAGGAAAGGCGGCGTTCGATGAACGCAAACATATGACAAACAAGACCAACAAGGAAAGGCGACGTTCAATGAACGCAACCCCCACATGACCCAGCAACAAGAACCAACGGCAAGGACCCCAGGCGGACCCCAAAACAGGACAGGGCAACCCCCATATGACCCAGCCACAAGAACCAGTGGCAAGGAGCCCAGGCGGACCTTAAACAAAAACAGGACAGGGCAAAAACAGAGCATGAACAGGTAAATCATTAAATGATAAATAATTTGTAACTGATTAGGAATTCAAAGAAAAGAATAATAGGCCCACAAAGGGGACAGGAGACTGGGGGAAGGGGTGTGTTAATCAAAGAAATAAAAACTAGAGGCAAAGGGGAAGATACTTAACGTAGACGAGAAAACAAGGGACACAAGCAAAAGTGTCACCAAAACAGTATGAAACAACAAAATTCTGGAAACAAAGTGATCCCCCGGAAGCATCAATCACAACAAAATAACGTAAGAATTGCAGACTCGGTTTGATTGAGTCTGTACATGAGGGATAATGTATAAGTGCAACATCCCTCACGCCCCCTAGCACCGGCTTGAGCGGTACTCAATTCTCAACACTTTATAGTGTTGGCATCAATGATCCCGAAGGACCAGAAAATATAACAACACTGAAGTGAAGTACGGGGCAACTTTTTACGGCTGCCACACGGCACTTGACACCTGCTGTTGTGAAGTACAAAATTCTGGAAACAAAGTGATCCCCCGGAAGCATCAATCACAACAAAATAACATAAGAATTGCAGACTCGGTTTGATTGAGTCTGTACATGAGGGATAATGAATAAGTGCAACATCCCTCACGCCCCCTAGCACCGGCTTGAGCGGTACTCAATTCTCAACACTTTATAGTGTTGGCATCAATGATCCCGAAGGACCAGAAAATATAACAACACTGAAGTGAAGTACGGGGCAACTTTTTACGGCTGCCACACGGCACTTGACACCTGCTGTTGTGAAGTACAAAATTCTGGAAACAAAGTGATCCCCCGGAAGCATAAGACATACATCTGAGGAACACAGAGGGGCGCCGCCTTGGAACGGTCAGCAGCATAATAATGACTGCTGGGGAGTTTAAACCGGTTAATGGTGCACGTTTAATGATTTTAGTAAAAACAGCAGAAAAATTACCATGACCCAAAATCTTAACAAAGTCGCCACTACTTAGAAGATCTAGATTATGATACGCGGCGTTCAATGAACTTGACCCCATATGACCCAGCATCAAGAACCAGTGGCAAGGAGCCCAGGCGGACCCCAAACAAAAACAGGGCAGG